AAGGGAAAAGAGAAAGAGAATGGGGAGGGACAAAAGGGAAAAGAGAAAGAGAATGGGGAGGGACAAAAGGGAAAAGAGAAAGAGAAGGTTGAAAAGGACAACGATCCTAACGGGCCTAGCTCAGTTGGGACACCTATGACTACCTTCTTCCCCCGAATACAACGTACGGTCATTATGGCTGTATTTAGACTGAAAGATACCCCAAATACAGCTATAATTACCGTACGTTGTATTCGGGGGAAGAAGGTAGTTGAAATACAGACCTCGATTCGAATCCCAATCAACTCAGTAGTTGAGTAAATAACTCCAATTTACCTGGCGGCGGTCGGTGTAAAGATGATATCTGCAGGCCATCACCCTTTCCAAAAAAGGAAAGGACAACGACGACGGTTTAAGAATGTCATCAAGGAAAGAGGTGGAGGAATGGGGGTGAAGAGTGAAAGGGAGAGAGGGAGAAAGACCGGGTGAAAGAGAGAGAGAGAAAGGGGGGGGTTGAGAGGGGAAGGAGAGAAGCAGAGGGAAAGAGAGGGAAAGAGAGGGAAAGAGAGGGAAAGAGGGGGAAAGAGAGGGAAAGAGAGAAAGAACAATAGGAAGAGGAGTGAGGGAGAGGGAGAATAGGACGGAAGACGAGAGAGGGAGAGGGAGAATAGGACGGAAGAGGAGAGAGGAGAGGGAGAGAGAGGGAGGGAAGAGGAGAGAGGAGAGGGACAGAGAGGGAGGGAAGAGTGGGAGAGGGAGAGGGAGAGGGAGAAGGAGAGGAGAGGGAAAGAGAGGGAGGGAGGAGGAGAAGGAGAGGGAGAGGGAAAGTGAAGGAGGGAAGGGGGAGAGACGGAGAGAAGGAGAGGGAGAGGGAAAGAGAGGGAGTGAAAGAGAGAAAAGGAAAAGGTAGGCAGGGGAAAGAAAGAAAGAGAGGGAGGGAGGGAGGTATGGGGAAAGGTAGGGAAGGGTAGATGATGATCTACCCTGATTGGAGAATCACCTACCTCCAAATTAGTTCTTTCTGAGAGAGGTATTCGATGCGAAAGAGCCGTCGCGAGAGCTCCACCTGCATTGCTGGCAGTACCTCCACATGCGACCCCGCTCACAACTCCACCGGCCACTGCACCGCTCCCCGATCCTCCTCCAGAGCTCTCAGACTGATTGCCCCATGCGCTTCGCTGTACGCCTAGCTCTAACGTCAAGAGAGGATTGGGCTTCGCAGCCATTTCCCACCCCTCTTGCTTTTCATCCACAAAAAAAAAAGACCTCCTACTCTGCCTTCTCTGTGTGTCTGTGTGTTGTACGCACACACTGCTCTCTCTTGTTCACAAAAGGGGTGGTCTTGTCCACCACCACCTCCTTCTCCCTCTCTTATTAGACCGTTCAGACAACCTGCAGAATCTCCGATTCTCCACTCTCTTCTTTTCCATCCACCATTCTCTCTCTCTCTCTCTCTCTCTCTCTCTCTCTCTCTCTCTCTCTCTCTCTCTCTCTCTCTCTCTCTCTCTCTCTTTACACAACTGCAACACACTACCGCCTCCTCCTCCTCCTCCTCCTCCCTTATTACCTTATGCAGAAAATCTGCAAAGAATGTGCAGAGCATGTGCAGATCATGTGCAGATTCATGTCAATGAAAAGACCAAGTAATTGACCAGCAAGGATGATAGCCCCCAGACCGACGAAAGCAGAGTCTAAAAACGACAATGCTACTCTGTCTGCACAAATAGGGAGCTTCCAGGGAGTCACCTCTCTCTCTCTCTCTCTCCCTCCCCTTCTTCGAGAGCAAGAAGCATAAAAGACAGTCAGTACCAATACACCTAGTCGAGGAGAGGAGAGGAGAGGCTTCACAAAACCCTTCACTTATTCCACCATACCTCAACTACCCCCCTCCCCCTCCGTAGCCATTTTTTTCTCTCTCGTTGCCGATGATGCACAGTTGTCACGATTACAATGTGGCAACATCAAAGGGATAAGTCATCATCGAGGGAAAGCCCCGACGAAACAGATAAGGCAAAATCCAGCAAGGATGTTCCCGCCAACGCACATCTTCGTTGGTGAACCCACGTGGCAGATTTCTGAAGCAGACAGCAGCAGAGTAGTACGAAACAGAAGAACAGTGGCAGCTACGGCAGCAGGTCGGCGAGGAGGAAGGGGAGGAGGAGGAGGACAACACGGAGAATGAATCCAACCAGATGCTGAAGAAAGACAAGAAGACGAGAGCCTGGTGTCGAGATGGCGACGCCGGCCACGTGCCGAGATGCCACGTGTCAAGATGCCACGTGCCGAGATGCCATGTGTCAAGATGATGAGATGACGACGGCGGCAACAACCTTTGGCAGGAGTGGAATAAGTCTACTAGGAAGGAAAGGAGGAAAAAAACGAGGAAGAGGAGGAGGAGGAGGAGAAGGAAGAACGAACGTGTTTCTTCTCTTCCACTTCGTCTTCTCCTTGCTTCACAGGCAGAGGACCAGCGGCCCCGACCCCGGCCCAGGCCCGATCCCCTATCTTCGTCAGCAGCTCTCTCTACATCCACCTCCCTTTCCTTCTTCCTTCTGCTCATCCTCTTCTGTACTTGGTCGATCAAGGCGCCAGATTCAAACCCGACAACCAAACTGCTCCCATGTCCAGATGCTAGCCCACCAACCACCCCCAGCTAGGTCCTCTCATCCTCCTCTATACTTTGAACAACTTACCGCCAAGCAGACGGCTCACCTCTCCGAGTGCTTGCGGGAAAGAGACCCGAATCACTCCCCCCCCCCTCCTCTTCTCCTTCTCCCTCCCGTTCCTTTCCTCCTCTCCTCCTCCTCTCCCTTCCTCTCCTCTCCCTTCCTCCTGCTTTACTCTCTTTCGTCCCCCTCTCACTTCTTCCTTTCCTCTCCCTCTACCTCTCCCTCTCCTCCTCTCCTCCTCTCCTCCTCTCCTCCTCCCTTTCTTCTCCTCTCCTTTCCTCCTCCTACCCTCCTCTCCTCGTCTCTTCCTCCTCCCGTGGTCTCTCCTCTGGTCCTCTCTTATCGAAAGAGCCGCAGAGTTACCTTCCTCACGTTTTCCTTGCTGGCATTATCCGATCGAGCATACTTACTCTCTTCGCTCCTTCCCTTATCTATCTAAGAAACACTCGCACTTGGACATTTAAAAATGCACTCGGCTGCAATTACAGTCAGATTCCTTTGTCGAACTCACAGTGTGAGTACACCCTGCCACTCCTTCCCGATCCAGACAACCGGATTGTCACCAACCCCATTCCATCTTTCTAATTAAACTAATTGAATGAGTTGTTTGGCCCTATTCTCCGCACACAGGAAGGACAAGAAGAGAGAACCTGCTCTCAACCTCCCCTTCTCCAACCTCCTCCCCTTCTCTATCCCGGTAAAACAACCAATAGCTGCTCCCTATCCTGCTACAATGGCACCGTCCTCGCGTTCTGCTTGCTCTAAACATCATAGGACTTCCACACTGTCGTCGCCCATCCCCTCCCTCCTCCTCCCCGTCCTCCTCCTCCTACTCCTCCTCCTCCTCCTCCTCCTCCTCCTCCTCAAGCTCTTACTACCGGTATGGCATTTTGTTAACAGAATGTTCATGCGTCCATTAAGAACCCACTAGGATGACTTGAGCGCATGCCACGTGTTCTCTCATCATCCAGAACATCTCTCTCTCTCTCTCTCTGTGTGTGTGTGTCCACGTAAATGAGAAAAAGAAAGAAGGGCATCGATCTATATCTGCATGTGGTCCACAAAGGCGGCCATGTGCGTAGGCATACAGAAAACAAGACACACCAAATTCCTACCAATCCTGAGTCGGAGTCGTACACATTGACAACCTTTTCCAAAAACCATCATGATGAACATATATAATATTATATAACGCTCAATCGACCAATCAAACAGGCCAATCAAGCAGACCAATCAAGCAGACCAATCAAGCAGACCAATCAAGCAGACCAATCAAGCAGACGAGTCAAAAGCCGAATGCCACATTTCCCACAATCCAGCTCTGACGATGGAATTGATAAGATCCCCGCCAATCACTCTATAGCCAGCCTTAGGGCATGCTCAAACTAGATGTAGATTCATGAATGTACCTGGGAAGAATTAGGAGCAGATTCAGACAAGAAAATCCCAGTATACTCTCAAATCTTCCTTCCCAACCCGCAAAAGACAAACTCGATAAGAACCGTTCAAATTCAACTACACTCCTCGCTGCTTTATTCTCGTTCTCGTTCCATTCTACATGGACTCTCCCTCTTTCACACTCCACACCTCTTCCTCTCCTTCCTCTTCCCTTTCTTCTCCCACTTAGTCAGCGTTGTCCATCCGCAATCTCTCTCTCTCTCTCTCTCTCTCTCTCTCTCTCTCTCTCTCTCTCTCTCTCTCTCTCTCCCGAGACTGGAAGGCAAGGAGATAGGTAGGCTAAAGATAAAGAGAGAGAAATCAAGAGAGGAGAGGTTGGCAACACAGCCAGATGGCTACGTGGGCTGGCCCTAGACGGCAGAAGCCGGGATCTCTCGGATGTCAATTCTGTATCTTCGCGACAAGAACAAACAATCAACGACGAAGACTACCTCCATCGGTCACCGACCGAACAGCGGTGAACTAAATATCATCAACTGAGCACCACTCGGCGCCAGCGTACACAAGCTCTCTCTCTCTCTCTCTCTCTCTCTCTCTCTCTCTCTCTCTCTCTCTCTCTCTCTCTCTCTCTCTCTCTCTCTCTCTCTGTG